TTTTTGGGGGGAAAAGTGAGGCTTATATTCAGGCCATTGCGGTATATTTTTTTCTAAACAAAATGCTATTGGTAGCCACTGTGTGCGCATGTGTGAAATATCAGAATCACAGCATTTGGCGTTGGGGGTGTTGACTGTATATGTCTGCTTATTTATTTATTTATTTATTATTAATAGCTGATGTACTGCTCCAGCTGTGCTAATGGCCTGCTTTGGGATGAGTGAAGATGAGTTGACTGTGTTTGTTTGTTTGTTTATTTGTTTTTATTATATTAATAGCCTATCTTTCTTTCATAAAGCTCAAGTTGGCTTGCACTGCTATTCCTCTCCGCATATTATCTTCCTAACAACTTTGTGACGTGTGTTAGATGGAGAGACAACAACTGTCGCAAGGTCACACCATGAACTTCATGGTTGAGTGGAGACTTGGACCCTGGTCTCCCAATGTCCTGGTCCATTCTAACCTCTATACCACACTGGATCTCATTTGTTTTATTTCCACTTCAGAAGCTTTCAAGAGAGATTACAAAACACTGTTCAAATGCCAATAGTACAAGAAACTCAAACACTAATTAAATGCAGTCACAGCTAACATCTGTGTTCTCGAGCAGGGTAGACTTGACCTGGCATCTGAAACGTAACAATGATGGTGCCAGGTTAAAATGTCCAGGGAGAGAGTTTCCATGACGGGCACCATTACAGAAAAGTTCCTCTCTCCATCTGCCTAATCTGTGTTGGCTGTTCATATTGATGCAAAACCCATACGACCAAACCTTTGAGGCAATCAGCAGCACAATGGCCCTCTTCAAACATCCAATAAATGTAAACAGGAGGAAGAACAACAGGCTGTCCTTCCAACCTGCATGAATTCATCAAATGGAGCTCCATGCTCAGAGATGAAATATGGAGGGCTCTAGTTAAACGATCAGGAGCTCTGCACACACAGGGGTGCCATTCCAATGCCCACTAGACGTTCAGTAGGTTGAGATTAGTGTCTACCTCCATGATCTCCCCCACCAACATATTTAATGACCATGCTTTTGAAGGTTTTGAAAAGGACAAAACTCTCCAAAGATTTCCAATTATATCACCTAATAATAATAATAATACAATAATTGTACCTAACCCATCTGACTGGGTTACCCCAGTCACTTTCAAACGGTCTTGAAATTGATCTTGAAATTGAATCCTCCCTAATATAATGCATTATTTTCACTAATACATGCCTTTATGTGCATATTGCTCCAGCGTTGTCATTTTGTACACATTACATGGCTGGAGAACTGCATTGCAAAATCTTGAGGACTGTGAATGTCA